TATATATATATATATGGATTTTTATCCCCCTTTAAATTGGTATAGTGTTCTTTGTTTTTCATTGAGTGGTTTCAACTGACTTCAGTTCCCTGGGGCCATTGAACCTAGCTGTCAACAGATAAATCATGTTTGTGACAAAAAAAAAAAATCTGTGATGGAGGGAAATAAACTCCCATGATTCATTTGGAAATGAGTTTTTGATAGAGAAGTGACTGCAAAGTGGAACTCTTGGGGAGTGGTCTCAAGTGAGTCCCTGTGTACAGGACAAAAATAGCCATGGCAGCCATGGGCCAGACTGTTTTTTAGCAAAAAGGAGGATGAGGAATGAAGTCCAGCTTAGAACAATATTTCCTGAATGAGAGGAATCATCACCTATTGACATCGCCAGAGAATCATTATAACACAGTCTACAATTTCTTTGAAAGGTAAGTTGGTTATGATGATGTGTTTTAATTTTTGTAGGTGACCCTAGTAAATCTCCTTGCTTTGAAAACTATTCTGCATGCAGCAAGCATCAGAAATCCCACCCCCTCCCACTTCCCCATTTTCCAGCCAAAGCGTAGTATACTCATGGAGTAAGGCTGACTCTCAGAGTCCTGAATTAAATACTCCGCAGGTTTGGGCTTGGGAATCTGTGCATTACAGATGGGTAGTTTCGGAGAATGGCAATGCCCATCTCACATTTGCTTGGTGTTGTTTCACAGCAGACATCTCTTGGCATCTGCTTTAGTTTGTGTCCTTCTGGAGGCGGAAGGACGCCACAGCCAGGTGTTGGCCTAGATGTTTCCAACACCTTGCAGATTGATTTGGGCTATGACTCCCTCTGTGGTGTATCGATCTGTAGCTTAAGGCAAGTTTTCTGCCCTGTCTGGTGTCCAAAAAGTCCAGTGTCACTTCTGGTCTTGGATCTGGGTCTCTCACGAAACTCCGCAGTAAGACTCATGCATCTTTCTTTGCGCGCTCGGGTCAACTTGCTCGTGGCACGCAGACAACTGTTTTTCACTGGGAATGTTGCTTTTTTGTTCCTAAAGATCACCTGTTTTCAGTGTACTATATTCTTTTTCATCTTTCTCAGTAAAAATACCTGGTTTTGCATTAAATAGTGCAGAATTGTAAGCCAGCTTGCATGAAATTAAGAATATTTGCTTAAGAGCCTTATGATTTACCAAACTGTGTGTTGACTGTGACTTGATGGTCTGTGGGGAGCCGTTTTTCTGATTTAGTGTGTGTCTGCTCATCAAAGATGGATGATTGCCACTATGTGTCATAAAACTTCAGCTGACAAAACCAGCTCCATAGCAAAATAATGCCGTCTCCACAGGGCAATAACTCTTTGTTTCTGTCCCACATGTTTAAGGAGCTCACACTAGCTCAGATTTTCTCAAAAAGATTTCTTTATACTTATTCTGTTAACAATGAACAAAGGACCATCAAAGATTTTGCCAGTTCTTTCTGAGTTTTCAAAAATCTTTTATGAGAGCCTAGAAGATGGTCTCTAGCAGCTGAAAATCTGTAGGATTTAGGCTCTTATGTGTGATAAACAGATAATGGGAATTAAGCAACCAAACACCTTTGAGGTCCAGGATTTTTAATTAAACCTTAAGGCTGAGGGGTAGATTTTTTCCTTTCTATCTATCTCTTCATTTTTAAAGTGACCCTTGAATGAGAAAATGTGATGAACTGAAAGCTGTATTCGTCGGGTGAGGTTATTGTCTCGCAAAACAAACACGGCGAACAAAAAAGGAAGCGTCAGCCTTAGAAGATCATCAGCTGGGGATGCCTGTCAAACATCACCTGATCAGGTGGTCTCTGTTGAAAAGTAGGTGGTTGCTTTTGCTCACCGATGACAGGTCTCGGCGTGTCTGGGAACGTGGGTTCCCTTGAAGACCAAAGCACTGTA